GAGATTGTCATCTCATAAGTTTGATTAGTTGATCTACACCACAAAGTGGTAGGGAATTTCCAGAGAGGGAAATTTTAAATGCTTGGTTGTCATTCACTTAATCAAAGAGAGGCGGTTTGAATTGCTTTAGTAGGTTTGTGTTTCTGCCTTCTGTTGGCTGGCTATGCCTTTTCTAATTAATTAATTTCTTTCTCAGAACTGTCCCTCTCATCGTGCTTCATTTCTTTGAATACTTAAGAGTTAAATTTAAGGGAGTAGAAAAGGACGGATTGTAACACATGGATTGTACTTTTCAACTCCTTCATTAACATTCGGTTCATTTAAACAATTTTTGTGCTTTTACATTTACACAATTTTGGTGCTTTTTGTTGGGGGGTGTGGGCGGAAGATACCTCAAATCTACTTATAAAGACACATGTAAGTCTTAAACAGGACAAAGTCAAAGGCACTTGATCCAGAGCAGGGAGACCATCGGCATCAGGCCATGATTGCATCCAAGGATGTACAGAAACACAGTTGTTTTAATAGGACGTGGGAGGACAAAGGACACTGTCACAAAAACATGATCAGTGGCAGATCAATACATCACAATTGCAGGCAGCCTATAGAAGCAGGAATGGGACCATAATTGATGCAGGTACATTATGTTAGATAGAAAAGCTTCTAGAATTGGTTCTGGGTCTCCCCAACCAAGACATCAGGATATGATTCGTGATTATACAGACTCAAGTACCCCAGATTTCATTAAGGGTACACACAAGCAAGTCCTTAATGGCTAGACTTCCCAGCTGGATTAGGGGAGTGGTAGTAATATACACTGAGGTCCTTTCAGTATAAACATTTGGCTCTGAAGTAGAATTGAAAAATATTCAGATAATGGTGATTTCATTTATTTGTAAACATATTTGTCTCTCAAATAATTTTTAAGTTGCTGTGAGGAACAGGATTGACTCTTCTGTCTCAGAAATTTCCTGACCTCTGCTCTAGCCTAATCTGCACGATGATTCTTCTTCCTGTCCCCTACACTGAGCCATTCATTTGTCTCACCATGTCCATTCTCCTTCGTTAGAATGGCGGGCCACAGGGTGGGGGCCTTACCTGGTTTCCTACGACTTATCTCTGCATTGGGCACATGGCAGCGCTTTAAGAAACATTTGCTGGATGAATTAATGAGTGAACCAGCCAAAGCCTGAAGCCTACCTTTACAAAGACAGTGGCCCTGAGCATGGGAGACGGTGAGAAGAGAACACGAGAGAAGGTTCTTGCCCCTCTTTGGTGCTCTGACCCACTCCCAGACCACTGTTCCTTTGCTGTCACTCCAGCCACATAGTGTGCCCTCAGCTCCAGCACAGCACAGTCCTTCTGCCTCCAGCCTGTGCACTTGCTCCCCCTCTTCAATGAACACTGTTCTCCAGTGAAGCCTAGTCAGCCTCAGCCTCAGTCTTTCATTGGTATCTCCCTTCCCCCAACTGTCAACCTGGGTGTGCATCCAGTAAGTTCTCGGGCGACCATGTGCCTGCCTTGTGGAGCTGTTGTGTCAGTGCAGACGATGTCCAGTAAGGAAGCCTGCAGAGCC